TGCATCACCGATCCCATTTGCATCACCGATCCCGTTTGCATCACCAGCCCTGTTTGCATCGCCACCCCTGGCTGCCTTACCAGCCCCGGTTGCATTGCATTGCTGCCCCAGCTGCATCGCCAACCCCAGTTGTGTCACCGGTCATGGTGGCATCGCCAACCCCGGTTGTGTTGCCATCCCAGTTGCTTTGCAAGCCCCAGTCACATCGCCAACCCTGGTTGTGTCATCAGTCCAAGTCGCATCGTCACCCTGCTCGTGTCCCCAACCCCAATGACCTTGGCACGATGATGGTTGATGGTGTTGCCAGCCCCGGCCGCGTCACCGAGCCCAGTTCCATCGCCAACCCTGGTCACATCACCAAGCACGTGGCTTTTCCCAAAGCCCTGGCTCCTGCGGTGCCACCGGGCCATGAGTGCCTCCGTTTTCGGTTACAGCTGGCTGTGCCAACCCACCGTGCAAGGACAAGGCACGCTCAGCGCTCAGAAGCAAAATGTGTTTATTATTTTCTAAATCTGCAGATTTCGAGTCGGTCTTGCCCACCTGGGGAGCCTCGCTTGCTGCCTGCACGCTGGTGGTTGGCAGGGGAAAAAAGAGCCATATGTGCTGTGCCACCCCCATGCCACCCCCGTGCCCGCCCCCATAAGGCAGAGCCCGCACTCGTTCCACGAGTTGCTCCGTCCCAAGTGAGCAGAGGCCACGGCACCGCGGGCTCTGCAGCCTCTAAAATGCCTGAACGTGACTCGTTAGCGACCAGGGCTTGTGTCTACACCGTAATTGGCAAGTGTGATGTTAATGAGCTGGCAGCGCGGTTAATTATCCACCCGGTAGCGGGAAGTGACAAGCCTCTGAAGTATAATTAATTGCCGTTCCTGAAAGAAAACCCAAACAGCATGGAAGTGGGTGCCAGCCCATCCACCGGAGCTCTTGATCTTTTGCTCCTTTCCCTTCCATACTCAGCTCCGAGTCCTCCATGGCAGCTTGTGGTGGCCACCAGCACGGAGGGAAGCTGGCCCTCCTTCCTTTCAGTTCTTCTTGGGCTCCTTAAGGACCTTCCATCCAGGTAGGATCTTCCCTCCCTTCCCTGCCTCTGGGTTGGATCTCAGCTGCTCCGGCTCCCCGTGCTCCCGTGGGCTCCCCAGCAGGATTTCGTTGATGGAGCTGAGCGTCAGGTTGCTGAAGACCATGTTAAGGTGGTCAACGCCTCTCAGCTCCTCGACGTGCACCTTCTGCTTTTGCTGGTTGCGCCATCGCTTGCACAGCTCCGAACTGCGGGTGTTGACGGTGTCGTCCCCGTCGCCGTAAATCATGTCCACGGGGTCCTCGTAAGGGAAATGCTCGTCGTATATGTACGTCTCCACGGTGGGGTAGCCTGTGCCATAGAGGCAATAGGTGTCCACCCCAGGAGGAGGTAAGTCCTTCAGCAAGTCCTTCATGTCCTCCCACATGTACCAGCCGTCCTCCAAGTTGACGTCGGTGAAGAAGCGTTGGTAGTCCCGGTAGGTGTAGTTGTAGGAAGGCGTGGAAATGAAAACGTGGGTCTCGGGCCAGGCCAGGCTCGTTGGGAACATCCAGGGGCTGGTGGTGGTCATGCGCTGCTCTTCACGCAGCTTGATGTTGGACATGAGTGGAATGCCCTGATTGTCACCTGCAGGACACACAAGGGGCTCATCAGAAACAGCACCGAAACCTTCCCTTGCCCCATGGTGCCCCTTGAGTGGCTCCGCAGGCACTGGCCCCTCCAGCGGCGGCTCGCAGCTGTCTCCTGGCTGGGGTACAGTTCCACCTCAGCTCTTCCCCTGCTTACCCCTGCCCTGCCCATGGCCGTACGTCCTCTCCTCACCCCTCTGGCTCCAGATATCCAGAGCAACCTTCTGAACACTTCTCTCCCTTCCCTTGCCCCATGGTGCCCCTTGAGTGGCTCCGCAGGCACTGGCCCCTCCAGCGGCGGCTCGCAGCTGTCTCCTGGCTGGGGTACAGTTCCACCTCAGCTCTTCCCCTGCTTACCCCTGCCCTGCCCATGGCCGTACGTCCTCTCCTCACCCCTCTGGCTCCAGATATCCAGAGCAACCTTCTGAACACTTCTCTCCAGCATAACATCTCTAGCTGCTAGGAGGGGCTGAGTATAGGCAAACCTGGACGTGTGATGGCCCTGACCAACCCAGTCCTGGACCTTCCTTGCCTGGAAGGAAGTCCTGGACCCCAGCACCTCCTCACTTGCCTGCAGGGACAGGAGTGAGCCCAGCCCGACGAGGGTGCTGATAACGGGTGGCTAACCTGCGTGTCTCCTGCAAGCCTCAGCGTTTTTGGTGCATCTGGAGGCCCCAGACTATGCAACGATCTCAGGTTACCTTAAAAATGCCTCTGGCCCATGTAGCCACAGAGGAAAACATGAGGAGATGACTTAAGGGTGATGCAAGGGGCCAGATGTTAAAATCTTGGAGCACATGATTTTAATTCCAAGCATTTTTGGAGGCTCAGCTTGTGACTTGTAGATATTCTGGGCTGTCAGTGTTAGGCAAGTGATTGTGGCTTTCTGGGCTGCAAAGGGACTAAAGAGGAACTGGGTGAAGGGAGATGAAAGCCTGAAGACAGCAAAGGGGATGGGGGATGGGCTTTGAGATAGGGGGGCAGATCCGAGCAAGCAGTGCAGGAGAGCTCAAACGTTCCTTGGGTGACCTCCATGTCCTCCGCTGCGGAAGGGCTCGAAGGGTTTGGAGTGAAGGTCCAGACACCCCACTGTCCTCCATGGACGGAGGCAGTGTGGGTGTCTGGGCTTGCGGTGAGAAGGGAGTGAGAGTGCCCTGGGCTGCTTCTCTGGCCTCAACATTTGTGGATGGGTGTTTCCAGGAGCACCCCTAGCCCAGGAGCTTTCCCTAGGCATGGTGCAGGCTGTGCTGCGAGGGCTGGTGCGGAGGAAGGGGAATGGCCAGGCTGCTGGTGGACCCTTCTGACAGCAGTTTTCCAGACACACAAGCCCACCAACCCCAGCAGTGGCAAGCAGAGTGAGCTCCCGAGCTCTCCCTGGGCCACCCTCCTGCTGCTGGGGCTGTGGCAGGAGCCTCCGTGGTGCTTTCTGCTCTGGGCGCAGCAGAAGCAACACCAGAGCATGAGCAGACCTTGGCCGTCTGTCCCCCACCTCTTCCTTCCACCACATCCCGCCCCTGCCCACCAGCCCCCTTCCATTTCTGCAGGAGCGAAAGAAAGCAAAGAGGTGGCAACACACAAGACGTCACCCACCGGACGCCAGGACACGCAAGGGCTTGACGGACCCTCCCCAAGGGGCACCCAGGGAGATGAAGCCCTCAATGTACTGATCCTTCCAGGCTTGTGTCTGCTGTAGCAAGAAGTAGAGGACGTTGAGGTTGCCCATGCTGTGCGCGATGAGGAAGACGCGTCGCTGGTACTCGTCATGCATCTCCTCGATCAGTGCCTTCAGGTTCTCAAAATATTCGGGCTGTTCCTCTGTGGGCAAGAGGGGAACCAGCTCTTGGCCACCCCACTCATGGTCACAGGGCTCCACAGCTGACCTTAGGAGCCCCGACCGGAGAGAGCTGTGGGTGCAGGGTCACGAGTGCCACCACGCATTCACACGAGAGCACCGCGAATGGCCGCGCACCCACCGCCGCGGGCAGCCATCCCTGCCCAGGGGCTCCTCCACACCAGCCGGCTCACCCACCCCTTGAGAGCCGTCCTGCTTCCCTCCCTGCGTGGTGGCCTGGCCACAAACCCCAGACTTACGGGGCCCAACCCTCCAGTCGTAGGGGGCTGCCCGAACCGTCTGGTCCCTCACGTAGCCGTTGTTCACCAGGTTCTGCACCAGGGTGTGCAGGTAACCTACGGGCAGAGGGAACAGGTGGGAATGAGCTCTGTGGTCTTCTCCTGTCAACCTTGTCCCACCTTGGTCCTGGTCATGGCCACAGTGTCCTCTGGTAAGCCCTGTAGCTTGGTGGCTCCAACCAGAGGTGGTGGCTCCATGTGACCCATGTGCACTGGGGTCAAGGATGGGGTGGTCCCTGCTGGCACTAGAAGGGACCGTGTCCCTGAGGCCAACGTCCCTCACCCCAGGTGACCTGGGCTCTCTGCAGAACCGATTTCCCCCTGGAGACACGGGGACACCTCTCTGCTTGCAGGGAGCGTGTGGCATCCCTGGACACCCCATGCTTCTCCTCCTCTCACCTGCCAGCTTGCTCTGATCCAGGTATTCCACGGAATAGGTCTTGCCGAAGCCAGGCACACGGATGTGCACCCCTGGGGCGTTGGACATTTTCCGAGAGGTTCGGTTGTACACCACCCTGTGGGGAGAGGACGGGGAGCAGCCAAAGAGCCGTGTCCCCAACAGATGGGGTGGAGATCGTTGGGTGGCAGCTCGGACCTTGATGGCTGTTTCCAAGGCTTATGTGGCTGGGGAGGGGGTAGTGGACAGATGCCCAGCCAGCATCCCCGCTAATCACCTGGCATCTCAGGGCAGGAGGCTCTGATGGAGTGCGCTGGGGCAGTCCCCGTGCCCTGTGAGCCCCGGGCAGGGTGACAGCATCTCCAGTGGGTGCTGAGGACGGTCCGGGGCTGGCACAAGTGCACGGCAGGGACGTGGGAAAGGGACGGGCGCTAGGAGCAGGAGCCAGCCAGCTGCGTTCCCAACCGGTCCCGTGGCACTCCCGTGGTTTTTCCAAGTGTGCCAGGTCATGGCCAGGGGGGAGGAGAGGGGAGGGGGACCCCTGGTAGGTCATTTCCCGGGGAGCTCACAGGGCGGGGCGAGGGGTACCTGGTGTTGTCGATCCAGCAGTCGACTCCCACGGGCAGGAAGGTGTTGAGGTTGAGCCAGATGGTGAAATAATCCTCCGTTTTGCGGTAGCACATCCAGTTCACCACGTCTGGCTTGTCCAGCTTCGCTTCCAGCTGGTTCCCGAGACACCCGGGCACTGGAGGCACCACAGATGGGGAGTGGAACCAGTTACAAACCCCGTCCCACTGGCCCAGAGCTTCTCTGGCTCCCCAAGCAGGGGTTCCCTGGGGATTCCCAGCTGGGGACACCTGAGGACCCGCTGGAGCAGCATTCCTGGACAACAGCCTACTCCGTGCAGGAGCAAGGGCACTTGGAGCCGAGATACGGGGTGGGCATGGAAGTGGTACTAAAAACGCATTCTCAGGGACCCCCCAAGCTTCCTTTCCCGTGGAGTGACTCCCGGAGCTGCCCAAATGTGCCAAT